GTATTACCAAGAGTCCATAAACGGTTTATGCACTCTTGGTATTATGTGTAGGTGATTCAGCCACGTACTGATGAATATCAGCGAGTTAGTGAGTCGTGGCAGTTAGCCTACATGTACATGTACATGTATGTCTATTTCATATAGGCATGAAACTGCAGGAAGTGACCAACCACTGGCAACCAGACTACTAATAGTAATACTGTGATCTCATAGACGGTGTGGCCTTGCAAGGACAAATTAATTCAGCTACGAATGGAATGCCATTGTATGTGGAAGTGCTGTCGTGGAGTGATGGCTTCCTCTGGATGAGTGGATTGTTCCGAAACAAGTACGTTTTTCCAATCAATCTTTAAAACCGTTTTACGCGCGCACTTGAAGACCATTGTCGGCGACTATTAACACTACTGCATTGTGCATGTATGCAATCACGATTCGTTTGTCTGGAATGTATCGGGTCGTGAAAGATTAATTAGCCACGGATATGGTTTCATTCAGCTAACTCGGATGAGAAAGTCAGACGTTACTGAAAGGAGAAAAACAACAGTGGCCTTCAGATTTCACACGCTGGTGACAGGATGGGGTCGTGATTTTGGTGATGAAACGGTGGGACATGATTGATGGAGTCGAGCGAGATACCGGCACTCCCATGTGTTTTGACAGCGACAATCAACGTTTAATTAAAAACTTTCTCCAAGCAGAATATGCCCCCGGTCATGGTGCCCAGCTCCATTTGTGTTACCTCGAGACTAGGAATAGTCCGCATTGTGGCCGTGGGTGGTCATGGTAGTTGGTGGAGACGGATGAGCTCAACACTGTTGATTCTGGCACCGAGAGTGACTGTGTGACTACGAGGCATAAATTAGCGCTTCTTTGCTTTGCCTCACACAACGCCATGCTGCACGATTGTCGTGTGGACGGTTTCGTCATGACACCCTTCCCCGCAAGGGTTGTTGTGACACAGTGCGTAATGCCTAATGGACGTGCAACCGTCGGAAAGATTGATCTCTTCTCACCAGTGAAGTGCGCCGTTGGCACTTGTTGCTGAGAGACCGTTCTAAATGGGACTGTGTCAGTGTATTCCGCTGATCATGGCGCGAAAGCTCTGATTTACACCTTTGCGGAAACAGTAGGAGACCTGTCAATAATCACATGGCCACTGAAAATAACCACTCTTTGTTTATATTACCTTGGTGTATCCCACATCTCTACCTTGTATTGGCACATTTAGGGTACCCTGTAAGAAGGCCTTAGGCCTGTGGCGATTGCCCTATCAAAAATTTAATAATAATAATATCCACGATTGGCGCAAAGGACTGAGCAATCAATGGCTAGCCGTGCTGAGAAGCTAACCAATCACACCCGGTCACTGCAGTGCGTTCAGCTCACTTAATATTAAAAAATGACCAGATTCTTAGTCAAGCTGTGCAGAGTCACCGTGGCTACTAGCTACTATAGCTGTACTCACTGTGGGAGATATACTGTACATCGTGGTCTATCATTTCCGGTGCATGCACACACATTTTACATACACATCTTCCATCTCTTAAACCTTATCTCTTCGCTAACTTTTTTTGGGAAGAAAATCCCGTTTGGATTTGCGAAATAAAACTGAGAGTCCAGTCAAGCCAAATCTCACCGTCTGAGTGAGTGGCTCTAGCTCTTCTTGTGACCGTTGTTACAGTGGTACTTGAAAAGGAAAAGGCCCTGCCAACAGTGCCAAGGCCAGTGTTGTAGTTGAATAGGTACATGTACATGTATGTATTGGCGACATGAAACGGCAGACAGTCGGCGGACACTGACAGCTACAGAGTTCTGAGTTTTCGTACACGCACTGCGGTGTCACTCGTCAGAAGCCGCAAGCGTATCGTTTCTTTTCGGACTGTGTACCAGGCTATCACTATCAGGTCAAGTAAATTTCAGGATCTTCGTGTCCACAGTGCACATGCGAGCGACTCTTCTTCACAACATGAATATGTCATTAATTATTAACACTTCTTCAGATCAGCTCATCTCTGACATTTAATGGAAAACAGAGACACGGCATGACACAAGGGCATCGAATCACAACGATACATGTTTGGTGAAGACTGAAGAGGGCTTCAAAACAACTCTTTTAGCGTGCCAGCACCCCCTTCGAGGTCAAACTGAATCAAAGAGATTCTGGCGGTGAGATAGTTTTGCGCCCAGTACTCTAGAGCTATGCACTATTTTGACTAGCGGTAATGACTAATGAGTCTGCTAATGACCTCTTTTACACTGTATCACAATGTACACTACTCGTCACCGACGTGTTGGCACTGTTGGGCAGGCAAAGTAGTAAGTAGTCTTGTTCCTGGCACCATGCACGTCGCGTGTCAGTCTGCGGTGGCTGCGGTATCTCTCTCTCTCTCTCTCTCTCTCTCTCTCTCTCTCTCTCTCTCTCTCTCTCTCTCTCTCTCTCTCTCTCTCTCTCTCTCTCTCTCTCTCTCTCTCTCTCTCTCTCTCTCTCTCTCTCTCTCTCTCTCTCTTCGCGCCTCTCCGACCGCATGGCGGTGGTCTGCTTCTGTTTACAAACAGTTACTGGTGATTTACATCCACCCACACCGGAAATTTGGGAACTGAAGAGCAGCCCATTTACCCGTTGCCTTCCGAGTGTATTCCCATACCATGCATACATTATTGCACTGTGTAGCACACATTAGTATGATGATTACGAACAAAATCCTATTCAGCCCCGGATGATTTCCTCGTGCTATAGCAAGTCGGGTAAGCATTCACAGATGGCCCAGCGCCTATCCGTACCCTGTTGGAGAGGGCTGAGAGTTTTGGAGCGATAGGATGGGGCATCTATTCGTATACTGTCGGACATCACCGCCTGCTTCTGGTGCGACGTTAAAATAAACTTCAACAACAACAACAACATCCCACTTACTGTCGCAGGAGGCGCCAGGATATTCAACCTTTCTCTATAATGTCAGATCACTTTACCTGGAATGGAGAGTTGTGCAGTTTCTCTACCAGTAAGTCAATTACATGGCACCGTTATGGCATTGATTTCGTTACCAATGAAAATAACTCAGGAAACCATGATATAGGTTGTAAGTAGACCAGGCGACAGGATTAGAAGCCTGCTCAACCCAATTAGTACTATCGCTATTGCATATGGCTGGATGCTTGAGTAACGCGATTGGTATCAAGCGAGGTTGTCGCCCTGCAGGAATGCGGATTACCAAGTGCACAATAATCTTGACAGCCACCATGGCATTGCAGCTTTTTCCCGTTTCATAAGCCTCTTGTACGGACAGTGGCATTGCAGTTTCCTTTCTCTCCCTGCTCTCTTGATCGACGCCGGATACGTCTCACTGTGACCGTACCCCATGGCATGCTCAGATCCCAGATGGACCACTACCATGTCCTATGTCCTATGCTGCAGTTTGGCAGGAGTTACGGGACATGGGACATACCGCTGTAATATACATGTAGCTTGCTATAGCCTTGGTATTATTACAACATGTATTAGCGGACAAAAGGCATGCAAGAGTACTAGTACCGGGGTTATATACTTTTGCCAGTACCGGCGGTACGTACTGGCCAGAAACTGAATGATGAGTAGATCTACGAGGCGTAGCACAGCGGTCCAGCCACCTCGCCGAGGTCTTCATACTGTTGGGAATACTAATAATATTAACAATTGTGCTCGCAACACATTACCTGGAGTGAGTTCAAGAACGCTGTCAGTTATTGGTGGTTAGTAGATCTACCTGAGACAGGAAGTCTTGCCAGCATGTAACAGTGTCTGTTCTGAAGTACTTGAACTAAGTAAGTTGAAGCCATCTTTGGAGGTGTGAGCTGGGCGCGTCATTCAAGTAGTTTGCAGCATTCCAGAGCGGATGATGATGAAGATTCCAGATGAGTTTATCTCCTACCTACACCTTCTTTCTTCAGTTCAGGTGTAGAGCCCAGCAGCACAACAGTCCCAGCGCCTAAGTCGGAAGCTTCACAAAGTGGACATGGAGTTGCTTCGTCAGGACTTGGCTGCCGCTCGACTTCATGAGTTTGAAAACCATGACGATGTCAACAAGATGTGGGACAAATGGTACTCTGCGTTCATGCAGGTCCTCAATTGCCATGCACCTCTGGCATACTCGCCTAGACAAAGGCAACGAAGGCTTCTCTCCCTCCCTGGTCAGATAGAGATCTGTTTCAGCTGGTAAAGACAAAAAAACAGTTTGCACGCCCGCTGGTTGAAGGATAGAGCCAATCAGTCGCTTCATCAGGAGTATAAGCGAGCCCGATCGCAGGCAAGTAATGCTCGACGACCGAAACGAAACCAGTATTTTGCCGTGCAGTGTCAAGTAAATGCCAGAAACGCGCGGAAGACCTGGCAGTTAGTCAATGCCGTCACCGGCCGCACACGCCACAAGCAAGAGCCAACCTGCAAGGTTGATGAAGTCAGCGAGGTCTTCCAACGGATTGTCACGGATCGTGAACGTCCCAATGTTCTCTCTGTTCCAAGCGGCCCTCTCACCATGAACTCGCTCCACCGCTTCGATCCAGTCGCTCCATCGGATGTCTACACGTATCTGTTGCAGATTGATGCTTCGAAAGCAACTGGCAGTGACGTAATTCCAGGATCCATTTTAAAGGAATGTGCTGATGTTCTGGCGTATTCACTTGCCGTTTTATTCTGTGCTTCTCTCCGGACTGGTGTAGTGCCCTCAGCGTTCAAACAGGCTTCAGTCGTGCCGCTGTATAAATCCGGCGACCCCTCTCCCCCAATAATTATCGACCTGTTTCTTTACTCCCCATTATCTCTAAACTACTTGAGAAGATCGTCCAACGCTAACTTGTCCGCCACCTTTGAACCAACCAGTGCCTCCCTACCAGTGCCTCCCTAGTACCTACCAGTGCCTCCCTAGTACCCAATTTGCCTACCGTTAGCACCACTCCACTGAGGATGCCCTCTGCCTTCTCACTGACAGTCTCTTCACTGCCAAGGACAGGGGAAATGTGACCGGACTATGCACATTGTCTTTCCTGGTAGAGACGCTGGACCCCGGGTCACAGTCCTCTGTCGCAGCCAAGCTCTGCCGACAGTCACCAGCGCGAAGTACCTTGGCGTCATCATTGACGAGGGGCTGAACTTTCAGCAACACCTGAAAGCCATTACAGCAAAGGTGTCCCGCAAAGTAGGTGCCCTCTGGCGGACTCGGAGATGCTTGAGCCTGGCGGCCCGAGTCACCTACTTGAAGTCCGTGGTGATGCCGGATCTGACCTACGCATCAAGTTGTTTCTTGTTCTGTCTAACTGCCCAGCAAGCAACGGATCTCCAGACGCTGGAGAACAAAGCGGTTCGCGCAGTTTTTGGCGCTCGGCCATACGACTCTGCTCAACCTCTGCTCCAACGGGTGGAACTCTACCGAATCTCAGAGTTGCACAAGCAAAAGGCGCTATTGCTCACCTGGCGATGCATCCACGGCATTGCGGGGAACCGGCTCTGTGGACTGATTTCAAGGTCACCAGATCGGCGTACCCGCTTGCAGAAGGACATCGGAGCGCACATACCACCCGCCGCAAGCCGCGCTGGTCAGGCAAGGTTCTCTGTTGCCGCTCCCAAGCTGTGGAACGCACTACCCAGCGACATCCGCACCATCCCCCAACGCAGTGTGTTCAAGATGTCAGTCATCCCACATACGCTCGCTCCTTGAAACGTATCACCCATTATTCCAGTCACTGTTGCTGTCGCATCCACTCGTATGTCGCATCCACTCGTAGTCCACGTCCACTGAAGTCGACCGAGGTAGCTCTCTTGCTACTGTGTAATAGTGACATGTACCCAGCTAATGTCTCTGCTTCGTTCAGGAAATTCAGAATAGGAAGTCTGCTGTACCACCCGCTCTTTTCTTTTTACTTTTAAAAGCGATTATTTGTAACATGGAAATTTGTTCCTTGGCTCACCATCTGAGTTCTTAAAGCTATTATTCATTTTCTGCTGCCCCCGGTTATTTCTTTTATTAGTATTATTTTCTTTGCCTTCGCTTTCTTGTTATTGGGCAACTTGCCCGTTAGAATCTGCGAAGTAAAATAAACAAACAACAACAACAACAACAACAACAACATTGGACATGTCCAAAGCATTCGACAAAGTCCGCCACGCACAGCTCATTGTCGATCTGTTTGACGTCGGTGTGTGCGGATCGGCCCTCACCTGGTTTGCCAGCTACCTAACCGCGCGAGAGCAGATGGTCTGCATTGGGCCAACCACGAGTCAGGCCACTCCCTGCACGTGTGGTGTACCACAAGGATCTGTGCTAGGTCCTGTTCTATTTTCCATTTGCACCCGCGACGTCCCCTCCGTCCTGCACCCTGTACCCAGCATCCAGTTTGCGGACGACATAGCATTGTATTCCTCGCAGAGTTCTGTTGGGGCTGTCTCTGCTACGCTTACGACGGCAGTCACCAACCTAGCTGTTTGGCTACAGGCGAGGGGCCTTGTTCTTGATACGTTACTATTAAATTTTATTCGTGAAGACTTGGGAACAGAAACAAAACATGTCATGAGAAAGAACAACAGGAAAAAGAAGCACACTCAACTAATCCGTGTGTGTGCGTGCATGCAGTACAACTATGACGTAATGAATATAGATACACATCACGCCCCTTCGAGATGTTGCAAAACCTGTGACAGCAACATCTATCATAAATAAAACAAAACGAAGAATGAAAACAACAAAGCAGAGACAGCAGAAATTGACATTAGTGATCAAGAGTGTCAATCATAGGACTGTCCATGATGCGAACCAATGTTTAAACGCTGGGGTGGCTTGCGCTGACGTGCGCTGCGGCGGGACGGCGGCGGCGGGGAAGAGGCGTCAGCAGCAGCCGGTTGGACAACAAGCGGTGCAGGCACAAGTGGGCGATACGGACGCAGGAATCTGCGGTTCCGCCAATAAATGCGACCACTCGGCAACTTCACTAGGTAGTCCCGATGATTACCGACAGCAACAATGACCCCACGAATAGACCACTGCCTGGTGCGCGGATGCTGAACATCCACGTGGGTGCCGAGGCGGAGCTGCGGCAACGGCGAGCGACGAGTTGACGACTTGTCTGTGACGGCATCGTCGGATGGGAAGGGGGGGGGGGGGGGGCACAGGAAAGAACAAGTTCACTGCGCCATGATACGTTACTATTTATTCGTGAAGACTTGGGAACAGAAACAAAACATGTCATGAGAAAGAACAACAGGAAAAAGAAGCACACTCAACTAATCCGTGTGTGTGCGTGCATGCAGTACAACTATGACGTAATGAATATAGATACACATCAGTTCTCAACCCTACCAAAAGCCGAGCTGTGACCTTTCTTCCTCACCGGCAGGCGGACAGCCCTCTCGTAACTGTCCAGTGTCGTGGAGTAGCCGTTCCAACAGCATCGACTACCACATACCTCGGTGTTGTACTTGATAGTAAGCTTTCATGGGACGCTCAAGTCGACCGAATTGTCAGCAAGACTACCCGTAAGATTGGTGCGCTGTGGCGAGCCCGTCGCTCCCTATCCCGATCTGCTCGGCGTCTCTTCGAACAGGCTGTTGTCATCCCTGACATAGTCTATGGCAGTAACGCCTTCTTCCCCGCGCTCCTTGGTCGCCAGCTTGATCGCCTGGGTCTGCTACAGAACAGGGCTATCGGAGCTATTGTCAGTATTGACGGCCACCCACGCTACACAACCGTGCATCCCCTGCTGGTGCAGCACGGCTTGTACCGGATAGGCGAACTCAGCAAGCGCAAGCTACTACTGACTAGTGTTTGTCTGGAGGTGCCTTCACGGGAAAGCTAGTGCCACTTTGTCAGTACTTTTCGTCAGATCTGCTGGCAGGAGAACCCGTCATCAGAGGTCCAGTGGTCTGCTCAGTCAGCCATCCTCCACTCGCTCTGGCGCTTCTCGGCCGTCCGTCGCAGGATCTGCACTCTGGAACCTGCTGCCGGATGATGTTCGGACCATAGCAAGACAGAACATGTTTAGCATAAGTTGCCTACCATATTGTTGCTCAGACTAGCCCGGCCACTAGCTCTCCTCGACCACCCTGTCACCCCTGATACTCGCTTGACTCCTCTGTCAGATACTTCTTCTTTCATAATTATTTTCTAATTCCTGTCCTCTCTTTTCTAAATGTGGCTTATCCATTCGCCTTTATATCACTGACACTGGGCCTAGTTCCCGTTTATTGTGCGAATTCAAATAAACCAACCAACCAACCATTACAACACTATCGTGCTTTAAAATTTAATTGTGATATTGCTTGATGTCTGAGGTAGGCAATTGGCATTTCCACATGTACATGACGATTGTACAACTACAAGACCAGATCCCAACACTATCGTTTACTTACTTACGTAGGTTGATACCAGGGAAGGGTAATACCGTTGTTAGTTGTTACTTGCTTACTGCAGTGCAATGCACTCCCAATGTACCCACTACCTGTATAATGTATAATTATGCTCTAGTGACAGATTTTACATGTTTGCAGTCTTGATCTCCTGGCTCTTGCTCCCTGCAGTGAGGTAAAACGTGATGATTCATAGTACTGTAAAAGCCATATATAACGAAGTGCTAACTCTAACGAGTTAACGAGGAGAAATCTGTCGTTAAAATAGAAATCGTTATACAGAAATCGATACATATACTGTCCTATTGAGCGTTGACAATGAGTGAGAATCGTTACCTTTGGTACACGTAAACTAATCAATTTTGAGAAATCGTTATAATATGCGCCTCGTTAGCCTCGGAATAATGGCTTTTACAGTAGACAATCTCACATACAGTGTTCGTGTGATGAATGTTTCTTCAGTCCCTCACCTACAAACGCAGCTCAAGCATACAGGAAATTCGCGTAAGGTTTTAATATCCCCCGATAATCGCTGGTAAGAATTGTTCGTTGGAACCCCATGCCATCCCGTCTCCTTGAATAACTACCATGCCAACACTACCATGCAATGCGCATGGACTGTCTAAAGCAAACCCTAGCCTCAGCCTAGGCCTAGCCAGGGTTGAGCTGTCCATCGCCTTCGTTGCACCGTTGAAAGGAAAGCAAAGGGCCCAAGTCCATGGTTCACTGCTTCAGTGCAACGATGTCAATGATAATGATGAAATGAGTGTATGGGTTTTGCATAGCAATGTCGTTGAATTGTAGTAACCGAGGCAACCTAATTCCTTAGTTACCATGTGATATGTCGAGTCGTTGCAAATGCAAGCGAAGCGCATACCTAGCTGTACATGAAAAAGCAGTGTACAGTAGTTAGTTTCACACTCACAATCGAGTCACCGAGTCAGACGTAACCGGTTGCTGAGTGGCATTACATAATCTTTGCCTGTCAAAGCCGAGCATCAAAACCTCAAAGCTCTACATTACAATGCAGTCCACTGGTGCTTGGTGGCTTCCGCTGTAAATGGCGAGTCTCTATCCGTACAGCCGAGAGTAGGCACGGATGAACGCATCATTATTATGTCAATGTACAGTGTACTAACCTGTCTGACAGTCCTATCTGAAACCGATTTGGAAGTAGCGGGATAGACTGCAGAGAGACTGAGAAGTAGAGAGAGGAAATGGCTCCACCACTGGACATTCTACAAGTTTGCTGTGTCCACCTCCTCTTCAACACAAATGCTCCGCGATGCTTCAATCCGGGTTGGACATGACTGTGGCTCTCAATTGGCTGCCTCAAGACGCTGCGAGCATGTGCAGGTCAGTAGAGGTACACTTATGCAGTGTGTGTGTGTGTGTGTGTGTGTGTGTGTGTGTGTGTGTGTGTGTGTGTGTGTGTGTGTGTGTGTGTGTGTGTGTGTGTGTGTTACTAGAGGCATGACAAAGTATTAGTTAGGTTCTTCTCTGCAAACTACAGTACTAGCGTGCGTCAAATGTAATGCAATAGTGTGATCGTCTCGCAGAGATTTCTTATGGCGATGTACAACTAAAATAATTGCTGATACACCTTAACACACTCAGGGTTCTGGCTAAAGTGACATAGCGGGACGCTGCTATCAAAATGAATGCGCCACCCTTCAGAGTGCGAGCGCCACCTTTTTTATATGCACGATGAGTAGAGTCTACACATTTTGCAGTAGTACAGCATTGTATGAGTCACTGCATCACATAATCATCACTAAGTCTTACCACTGAAACCATACTCCCGGCAGATCCAGTGGCCAATGAATAAATACATGGAATGGAAGTTCGTCGGTTGCTTTTACTGGTGTGGGTGAAAGCAGCGGCCAAAACGGCGGTAAAACCACTAAAATTTGTTCGTGGCGCATCCCTTCCCCTCATTGGAACTTTCCGCACCTGAGCCTTCCAAGTAAATTAGTTGGAATTTTGTTGGTTTGCGCTTCGTAGATGTGTTGGAGCTAGGTGTCCGGTCGTCGAATGTCTCAATGTCCATGTCGGTTTTGTGCCTCGTTGTCGCACTAGCTGACTGCATGTATATGATCTCGTTACCTTGGTGGACTCTTAGTCATAACTAGTAAGTAACGTATAGGTCCTTTTTCTCTTTACAAAAAATTGGGTTCAATAACCTCCCCCTCACCCCCATCCCTTTTGTTCTGGCTATAACCCTGATGATCTGCTCCGGCGCCACCATGGACTGTTCAGTGGGTCTGGGGTTTAGTGATGCAATGCAATGCTACATTGACATCAGGGACTCGTAGAATG